AAGTCTCAAGTATATTTTTTTTTCTACTTTAAAACATGACAATGATGATGATGATGATGATGATGATGATGATGATGATAATGATGATGATAATGATGATGACAATGATGATGCTTCATCACTTACCAGCATTCCAATCCTGGAGAAACAAACAGCGCGGACGTTCCCCGAGTGTCCTTCAAGCACCAGCACGTCCCCCTCATCTCCCTGATCTCCTCGTACCTCGCCATCTGTGTCTCCATCCTTTCCCTCACCGTCTCCTCTTCCTTTTAATCTTTTCGTCTCCTTCTCCTCTTCATCTTTCATCTCTTTGTACCCACCCTTCTTGCACCCACTGGTACTGTTCAAAGAAGAGTCCTGTTGTTTGGTATCTTGAACCACAGCACTGTTTTTCTCAGAGCTAACACCTTTTCTCTTTTCCTTCAGAACAGCTCTGTCATTACCGTTTGCACCGGGTTTATCTAGCGTATCATTACAGGAGTCTGTACCAGTTTTGTCACACACAGAAGGTTTAATCCTCTCTTTTACATTATATTCCGGATCCACACTCCCATTTCCATACGTATCACATCTGTCTCTTGCAACATTTCTTTGATTATGGCCCTCTTGAGAACCACTGCTTCTGTGTTCACCATTTTTATCTGTCACATCACTGACCACTTCAACCATCTCTCCGCTTACAGCACCATTCACGGGATGAATTGAAATATTCACATCATCAGATATAACACACTGATTACTCCCTCCTTCATCAACATCGCTCAATGGAATAGTGACTTCTGTTTTGCTGGTATCTCCTTTACTGCGGAGAAACACATCCTGTTCTACAATCCTTTCATTAGCGATATCTTCTGTTACTGCAGCAGTGTTGTCAACGCCACTTGAACCAGTACCGTCAACATCTCCACAACGACTGTCATTCACAGCATCTTCTGTACCCTTGAAGCTTTCATCACTCGTTGCATCGGTCTGATTCCCATCGCACAGACCGTTGTTGCTAGAGCCAGAGTCTACTCCATCTGGCAGAGGAGTTGTCGCAACTCTGTTGAGAGATGCATGGTCTAGATGCCACACCCGAACTGTGAAATCCCAGGAACCAGTGGCCTGAAATATTCATTTAAGATTGAACAATCAGTACGGATACCTTGCGAGCTTTGGTGCTGGGAGGAAATGAGCACTTATGGACCTGTCCGGTGTGCAATGACGTTGTTGCCCAGGACAGGTAACACAGGTAATTCATTTAAGATTCAAATTGAATTGTTAAGGGGAAAAAAATTAACAGAATGATAGGTACGTTCTGTAAAGCTGAAAGGAAAAATAAAACAAATTACTGATAGGTTTTGAGGCGAGAGTGAAACTGGTGAACATCAACACAATGATCCTCATTTAGAGCTGAAGATTGATGGACAGAGAAAAAAATGTGAAAAACAAAGAAAAAAGACCTACAAATTTAGTTTAGTTTCAGTAAGAGCTTTACGGTACTTGCAACACAATGAGATGATATAAGTGCAGAAGATGAGAGGTGTTACAAGAAAATAACAAGCACAAAAAAGAAGGAGGAGAGACAAAGACGATAGATGTTTGATAGGAAAGAAGAGGCAAACCGCACAAGAACACCCGCCAACCACCCACAGACCTGCAAAGGGTGCCCCCCAGTCACCCCAAACACAGAAAAGCAACAGTAAAAGACAAGCCGGACAGAAAAAAAATAAGAGAGAAACTGCCTGAAGAACCTTTGAACCATCTGTAAACATTTTTCCAGCAAAGTCGAAATATATATCATTATTAGCCTCTTGAGCTTGCAGAGATGAATAATTAGAAGATAATGGAAACCAGACATAGTAGATTTTTTTAGGTTGAAAGGTGAAAGGATGAAACACAAAAAACAATAAATGTTCGACGTGGACAGACAAAGTCCCTTTAAAGGAAAAGAAAGTAGTCCTTGATGAGAAGAGGAACAAATAAAAAGAGTAGAAAACATGTACATAGATGTATAAAAAGACATGTATAACTTCATGATGTCAAATTTTCTTCAGTTAAAATTATTACAAAAGTAGGCATTCATTCTTAGGGAAAAAAAAAAATCCATCTTATACTATTAACAGTAAAGTGACAATTTGAACTGTGAATACATTATGCTTGTTATAATATCGGGGGGCACCAAGTAAACTATGGTAAGTCATGTTTTTCAAATTTTACAAGAGTGACAAAAAAAAAATGGATTTTCGAGAAGCGTTTTGGTGGACAAACTTCATTTTCATAAAGGAGCCTACAAATGCCATGACAGACATTAGGCTCCCTTATGAAAATGAAGTTTATCTACCCAAAACGCTTCAAGAAAATTTGTTTTTTGTCTCTCCTGTAAAATTTGAAAAACAATACTTGCCACACTTTACTTGGCTGCCCTCGATATGGTCATTATGAAATTAAAAAAAGAAAACAGGAAGAAGAGTATTTAATCAAATTTCACAAGAAAATACCGCAAATGAACTGTGTGTAGCGTGGTGGCCTAGTGGTTAGGCTCTCAGACTCGCAACCCTAAGGTCGTGTGTTTGAATTCCGTCAGGAACCCAACGTTGTACCCTTGGGAAAGGCACTTCACAATAATTTTCCTCACTTCACCAAAGTGGGAATGGTTATCTAGCAATAGTCAGTGAAAGATCTTGTCAGTTTGTTAGTATATGAGCACTTAACCAGCTGCTTGAGAGCATTTCTGAGTCTTCTATGGTCTTCTGGGGTAGTAATATAGTGTAAAGCGCATAGAGCTTGCTGTAGAGGGGGTTATGCCCTGTACAAATGCTATTTATTATTACTAACTAAGGACTCTACGTTCAACATGTTTGTGCTTCAGAATTTTAATCATTACAATTTATAAAAACTTGACAAGGATTTTTCAATGTTTTGTTTGAACATTAGACTAATATTCAAACTAAACATTTATAAGTCCTTGAAAGTTTTGTAAATCTTACACTTGTGACAGATTTCACTTACCAACCATCTGCAGTCGAAGGAAAAGGCAACAGCCTGAACAAGATTGCTGTGTCCAACAAACGTTTTCAAAAGTGAGCCATTCTGAAACACAAACGTCATACTTAGGAAAACACACAAAAAGAAAAAACAATTTTACACAAGAAGCTGAAGATTAAATAGGGATTATTTTGTCTCTATTCAAGGACTGAACACTTCTCACTCATATCCTCGGGACCACTTATCTTCTCAGGAAGCTACAATTCCAAGGGGGGTCTCGTGGCCTAGAGGTTTTCTTATCACCGCAGGCTATTCAACAGCATACTTCCTATGAAAGTCCTAAGCTTTCTCGGGGGCTCTCGTGGTCTAGAGGTTAAG